ATTTTGCCACATGTTAGAAGAAAGACAGATATGCACTCATTGCACCGAACTGGCTAGTAAGGATATAAGTAAGATTCGATGTTTTATGGAGTATTTTTGCAAGTCAGTGGTTCTAAACAATATTTTTTTGCCTGATCTTGTACCTTTTTACCTGTAAGAAGGCCTCAGGTCTACAATATTTAATGACCTTAGCTTTTCATTTTTTTCCATACATGTACCGTATTAAATTTTCTTGTATTTACCATATTTAGACTTGTCTAATATACCAAAAATAACTTATATAATATGACTCACTTCTAGTTATATGCGTAGTTAATTAACTTTCATAAATTGTGTTTTCTTTTTTTGATACAAATGGAAAAAAGTAACACTAGGCTACAGTACCACAACCTCAGCTAACCAATGCGCAGTTTGAGTGTCCGCCACCCGGTGGTGGTTTATGCCAGACAATGTTTTGAGCAACCCTTATATTACCATTAACCGTGGCTTTTTGTATAGTGACTCGTGCTTGAGAGCAAAATCAGGTAACAGTCATACCTTTTCGCTATCAGATTCTGCAAGTGCACGAATAAAGTGTGGAATAAAATATCATTTCCACGGAAATTTATTTAAAAAAAATGTGATCAAACAAAAAGATTTTGCAATTCTCAATCAAGTTGAGCAAAACACAATTAGTTAAAAAAATGTTCATTTTGGAAAATATGTTAAAACTAGGAATTAAGAAAAGCAATTGATTCTTAGACTTCAAGAGTAAATGGGACTTATGATTATTTATCCCCCTTACATTTCATAGTACTAAAATTATCTCCTCTTATAAATATTTTTTAATGAAAATAAGTGCTAATCTAAAGTTCTAAAATACTTCAATAAGAACTCTCAAGTTGCAAGTCATGAATAAGTGTTTAGTTAAATTAATTTTTCAATTACTAGTTTCAATTAATAAAACTCAATTTTAAGCTCCTACCCTAATATGTCTATGCAAGGTTAGTAGTATATTTCTATCTTACTAATAAAACCATCTATTCAATATGCAAACTTCAAGTTCTTGCCGTATTTTATACCCAAGTTTTACACTCAAACTATAACCCTCTCAAGCATCACCTAAATGAATAATCAAATAAATGGTGACCAATCATTTAGAATAGAAACATTAAGAGAAGACTAATATAAACACTTATATATTATTAATCACAAAATGAGAGAAGAAAATAATGTGTTAATCCATATAAGAGTTTAAAATAATCCTAGAGTAAAGAGTTTAGCTATTTATAATCATCAAGAAGCTACAAATATACAAAATTTATACCATATCAAATTACAAGAAGAAAAATGGAGAAGAAACAAATGAACTAAAGAAATATGGAGCTTTAAATGTCTTCAAAGTTTTAACTCTTGAACCCAACTCTTTCAAAAACAAAATCTTAGCACAACCAACTTCTCAAAGTGTTTTCAAGTGTATAGAATGTGTTCTTGGTCGATCAAGCAACATATATGTCATATCATACCCAATCATTTTCAGCTAAACAAACACGACCTTTTAGTAACACCGGTGGAAGTAATCAAGAATAAACACAACTTTGGTAACAACTTTGCCTAGTTTTTCACATTTCTCCCAATTAATGAAACTAATCATTTTTGCACTTTATTTCTTCATCTCAAAACCTTCCAAAAGTATCATCAAGGGTCTAGAAATGTTTTCAACCAAACCTTAAACTAAAATAACGCAAAATTAGCCCATAAGTATCAAATTAAAGTAAAGCGTGCAAACCCAATGCAAAATATACATTTTCCTAATTTGGGTAATCAAAATATATACAATAGTTCTAAAATATATTAGAAACCAAGGAAAATGTGATAAAATAACTTGAAACTCTAGAGGTTAATAAAAAGCAAGTGATTCTTAAACTTTGAGATTGAAATGGGATCTAAAATTATTTATTCCTCATTGCATTTCAAAACACTAAAATTACCTTATCTTATAAATGCTTTTACTAAAAATAAGTGTTAACATACGGTTCCAAAAGCACTTGAACAAGCTCTCTCAAGTTAAGAACAAGTGTATAATTTCATTAATTGCTCAATATTTTGTTATAATGAATAAAATCCAATTTTTAAGCTCCAACCCTAATGTTGTTATATGTAAAGTTAGCAAGTATATCTCTATCTTGTTAATAAAACTATCCATTCAAAATGCAAACTTCAAATTCTTACAATATTTTACCCGAATTTTACACTCAAGGTAGCCCTCTCAAGCACCACTCAAATGAAATCTAAATGGTGGCCAAATTAACACTAATTAAAAGCAATAAGAGAGAGTAAAGTAAATATGATATATCATTAATCACAAAAAGGGAGATGAAAATTAGTGTTAATCCTTGCAAGAGTTCAAAATAATTCTAGAACAAAATGTTTAGCTACTCATAATTAAACAAAAGCTACAAATACATCAAATAATTTAACCCATATCAGACTATAAGAGAAGAAAGAAAGAAGAAACAAAGGAACTGAAGGAATAAAACTTCAAATATCTTCAAAGCTTTAATATCTTGATTTTAACTTTTCCAAAAACCCAAATCCTAGAAAACTCAAGTCCAAAGGTGTCTCAAAGTCTTAAGAATTCCTTCCGAGTCGAAGCAGTGACACATATATAGCCAGCCCTAACTTCTTTAGGTAATCAAAACATTTTGTTTTGTTGTTAGCAACAAAAGTTGCAAATAAGGTCATGATGTTTATGACTTTGGTATGTTCCATACCCTTATGTCATTTGGTATGACAATTCACCTTTGCATCTGATTTCTTTATCTTAAAACCTTCCAAAAGCATCACCAAAGGACCAAAAAATGCCTCCAACATAACCTCAAATCAAAATATCATGAAATTTTGCCCAAAAATGTCAAAAAAAAAAAAGCTATATGTGAAAACCCAATGTAAGATGCATATATTTCTATGGGTATTCAAATATGTATAATCATGCCAAAATATATTAAAGTATAAGAAAAAATTTGTTGAAATAACATGAAATTCTAGAAGTTAACATTACACTCTTAAATTTGCCAAGAAATCAAATTTTAGGAAATATTCCTAATAATATGGGTGGCTTGCAAATTTTAGATCTGCCTTTTACTCCCAGTACTTTAACGGAGATAATTTCTACTGTCAACTGAATCCTTTGTTTTTGTTTTTTTTTTTATACATTGGAAATAAATGTCGACTAAATCTACTTGTATACTTACAAAAAAAAATTAAAGGGGGTTCAATTACTCAAATCTTGAATGAATGAAGATCCAAACTTCAAATGTGGAAGATAATGTGAAGGAACATTTAATATGTAAAACATTTCAAATAAGGAAAAATGTGATACGGCCACGGGGTCCTTGAACCATAACTATAAGAAGGATATTTGAGGGAAGGAAACAAGAAAAAGAGGGTTTTATATAGAGTTTAAGTAAATCTACCCTCAAATTTCCACGTAGGTGCACCTCATATCCTAATTGTTTTGGTACAATTTCGCCTAACAATTTTTTTAATTTGGTGCGATGTCACCCAAGGATAACAGATTCAAACTTTGACCGTTTGTTTGACGCTTGTAGAAAAGTGACATCTACTTTACAAATTAGAGAATTAAAAAAAATATTAACACCTGGTTCCTCTTCATTGCTTTCATATCTAAACGCTGGAGGAGAAGGAGGACTGAAGAGCTGAAGAGGTGAGATGGAGAGGAAGAAGAACATGAGTGATGGTGACAATGACTGAGTTGAGGAGGTTGTTGTTGCTGTAATAGTCGAGGTCGAGCCGAGCTTCACTAATGACAAATATGAAAGAACGCATGACTGAAAGAGAATATGAGAAAGAGCATCAACGTGAGGAATTCAATGCGATTTTGAAGCTTTACCTCCTCCTCCTCCTTCTTTGCCCTTCCTGATCTTGCAATGTGGTGGTGATGGTGAGCTCTTCGCAACACCTCAGGGAGCTGGCTCTTCTGGCCCTAATGGCAAGTAGATTTAATATTTGTTTTTTTAATCTCTCTTTTTGGTAGATTTCTGCTGATTGAGTTTTAGATTTGGTTGTGATTAGTTTTGTTTCTGAGTCTCTTTGATGGTTAATTTTAGTTTTAGATTTGGTTAATTTGGAGTTTCACCAGCAGGTCTAGGTCATGCATTCAATAGAGGTTGAAGAGCTTTGACTACGATGCTCATGCTTGGTCTGAAGTCAGCTTTATATTGCAAGCATAGTACAGCAACAATGTAATGACTCCAAAATTTAGCTTAAATTAAAATCTATAGTTATATTATTTAAGTGCATTTTATTAATTTTTAGAGTAGACATAATAGTGGATTGGTAGCTTAGTGGTAATAGAATACTCCAGAAATTGAGTAAAATGAAATAAATGATAAAGTATTTTATAATGACTAGAAAATTCAAGAATTTCAAATATACAATAAGTTTTATTTAAGCATCAAAAGAGGAGTTAGTGTAAATTCATAAAAATTTAAGATAAATTAATTGATTAATTAATTAATTTTTCTCTTGGTATTTGACTTAAATTTTTCTGACCCCAGATTTTTAGTAGAATTAAAATTTATAATAAGAAATTTTGAATGTATTTTATTTAAATTTTTGGAGTAAATTGTAATAACCTAGGAATTTAAGTAAGATTAATATTAATGATAAGTTATTTGATTGTATTTTATTAATTTTTGGAACAAATAAGACAAGAGAAAATGTTAGGTGTAATGGAAATTGTGTTAGTAATTCATTTATTGGGTTATCGGTTCGAATTTTGTTGATGCTCGAGAGGTGTTTTATTTTTTTTCAGCCTTTACTGAGATTACTATATTGCCCCTTTTGTGTAAAAAAAATAATATTAAAAATCTGGTGGGGCCCTATTGCAAAAATTTTCCCAAAAAGCTTTAGGTCTAATTTGGTAAATTTCCCAAGGTGTTTGTTATATCATTCTCCCCCTCCTCCTTGTCAGTTAGAAGCTAGAGAACAGAGTGAAAGAAAGCGTTCGCATCTGTCTCTGTTTCTCTCCTTCTTTCCCGTCCCGTAGGCTTCATCTTGCCGTTGGTATGCTTGTCTCTTCACCGCCAGCTAGTGTCCGTCAATTTCCTTTGCTGTTCTTCCATCTCTGTCCAGTAAAGTAGCTGAAGTTCTTCGTTTATGCTCTGTTGCGTGGCTGCCGAAGGTGTGTGGGTGTCTGCGTGTTCAATCTTTCTTCTTCCTTCCCTTCTTAGCGGTTGAATATCTGCGTGTGTGTGCTTAGTAAGCTTCAGTCCTTCCTCTTTTTGCTCTGTAATTTCAGCTTTGTTTCCTTCTCTTGGGGCAGCCAAGCTGAAGCTCTTCTTCTTTTTTGTGTGGTCCGTGAAGCATGGTGTTGCATCTATTACTGTGCTTTGGTTAAGGTAAGGTGTTGATTCTTTCTTCTTACGTGAGTATGACCTTAATAGCAGTGTGAGTCGTGCTTATTCTTCCCTGAACCCATGCGTCCCTCTTTGTCTAGTTGCTGTCACGATTTTTTTTTTTAAATTATGTGGTAATTTCGGTTGATGCTGTGCATTATTTCAGTTGGTTAAGTTAAATATTGATGTTGAGAAATTTTGGAAAGGATGTTAAGGATGAAGAGGCTTGGTATTGGTTTGAATTTGGATGCACATGAAATGTTTGATAAAATGCTTGAAAGGAAATTGAAATTAGAAGTAGAGATTTTTAAAGAGAATATCTTCATTGATAATTCAATTACTGAATTGTTATTTATGTATTGATCTTTGGAATATCTATCGGATGTTGTAGTAATATTAAAAGGAAGTTTGTTGGATTTGTAGGAAGCTGAATAAAATTATTTTACTGTATATTATAAGGAGATTAGAAGAGAAATGAACTTGTTATTATGATTTAAATAATGGTGCCTACAAGATGTTTGATGAAGTGTTTGTTAAAATGAGAACTTTTAGATATTTCATTAAATTTTATAGGACATAATTGGTTTAGGTGTTAATTGTCTATGGATTTAACTTGAGTTTTGTGAAGTTTTTTTTTATATATAAAGTTATCGTAAGATGAATTGGCTTTTGGGAAATTAGGTAGCTGATTATAAATGATAATATTGTTTTAAAACTTGATTTTGAAAATACACCTAAGGTGTTTGATAAAACGTGTGATAGAAAAACTTTGAAATTTTAATGTGATTAAAGGTGGTGTGTATATACATAAGTTTAGTTATATATGAATATATATACTTGAGAAGGGTTGGATAGAAGCAAAGTGTTAAATAAAGGGATATATATAAATACATGCATATATATTAAGTTTAGTAGAGATTAGAAGAATCAAAGTATAAATTATATTTAGTTGAAAACTTAAGTGATCATGGTAGTGTTGATATTGTAAAAGAGTTCATTAAACTTGAGTAAAAGATCATTGAATTATCTTTTATATTGAATAGGGTGCTTAAAAACTCTAAGGACTGAATTTGCACTTGGGAACATTATAAGTAAGTGAATAACATCCCAAATGACTTATTAGTAAATTTATTTTCTTCATAATAATGCTTAAGTACATTCATGACTATTATATCAATATATTTTAAATTTCATTATCAACTATCATCAATAAAAATGTTTCTATTGTATATAGTTTTATAAGAAGAGTTAGAATTATTTTATGATTGAGTATCTATCATTATTTAATATATTGGCAGTATTTGATTTTACGGTTTAAAGAATGATTTATTATTATGACATCATGCATGCTTGATTTAAAATATCAGATTAAATTAGAACACTGGTTGCTAACGATAGTTCTTTTAACCCTTGGCGCGCCATGGTACACCTAACTAGTAGGGTGTTTATTTGAGGTGCTAGTCCTGTGTGCAGACCAACGCACGTGGAATGGAGGGATGGATATTCGTGAGCATTATACTCACGCTTGTTTCGTGATTGATACCACACTTGTTTCGTAGCTTTCAACCGCACTAGACTAGTTACTTACCCTTATAGACTGTGTGTCCATACTTGTTTGTTATTTACTCTTGTGGATTATATATCCACACTTGTTATCTGTTCTGATAAAGTCCTCCTAAAGAGATGTGTGTTTTTTCTACTATTTGATATAAGCTTAGGAGATATAAAGTGAAATTTGATTGTTGTGTTATTATCATATGAGAATGTTTTTAGATTAAATGCTTAAACAAAATTATTCAATTTGAGTTATGTACTCCTACTATTCTAAGCAACTATTTTAATTAAATTCATGTTTATTCCATTTATAATTTTTTCTTTTAATTTCCTTTAATTTTAATTTGAGATGTTATTCAAAAGATATTTTTGATCTCAAATGGTATAGCTGAACTTGTGTCTGGAGGTGCCCATTAAGGAGTTTTATTGCTGAACTGAAGTGAAAGGATTATTTTAGATAAATCCTAATTTGATGAAATTTTGAACTTTGTACCTATGTTAGAGTCTAATCTTAGATGTTTCACGTAGGCTACTGGTAGGACTCTCATATTTTTTTAAAATTGAATATCTGATTTAATATTGTAAAAAAATTTGATCATTCTATTAATGTGTTCAAAGTACTAACCTAGAAATTTCTCTAATCAAGGCTTAAGGGATGTGATTTTGTGTCCATATCCCATGCCGGTCACACTTAATTTTTAGGGTGTCACAAAACAACCATCTCTTTGGCTGTAGGAAGGCTGATGGTCCTAGTTCAAAATTATAGGTCTAAAGATCCTTTGATTCTTCTTCTTGAACAACAATCAAATCTCATTTTAGGTTCAAAGATTTTTGACTCTAGGTTAAAAAATTTAATTTTGATTTGTTCATTTTGTTGTATGATCTAATTTTGTTGTAAAATTTTTTTTTTTTTTGTAAAAAGAAAGGCCCAAGGCCTTAACAAATCAAACAGACAATGTAAGACCTAGCCCATGCAAAAAGAAACACTCTTAAAATGACAAAAAAAACAAGAAAGAAACACAAGTAAATATATTAACCTAGATCAAACATCGTATGTGACTTCTCCTTATCCATCTATACCTCATCCTCAAGCCATCTCAAAACCTTAGACCAAATTTGCCTAGAAATTTACAGATTTAAACTTGCTTTAGCCAATCTATCAGCACACACACATTACCAACTCAAGGAATATGCTTTACAAGAAACTCCTCCCTACAACCTATCAACTTCTTAATTTCCCTTGAATGGCGATCAACTCCAGCTTTTCCTTTTTCCTTTACTCGATACACAAACTACTTCAAATCAGCTTTTACTTCTAGCTTTCTAATCCTGGCATTCCATGCCAACTCAGCCCCTTTATGCAAGCACCACTACTCCACTTTTACAGCTGTACACCACCCTACATCTTCTGTAAACCCTAACACCCACTTACCCTTAAAATTCCATATAATCCCTCCATAACTAGCATGGCCAAGATCCCCTTTACTAACTCCATCAGTATTGAGTTTGAACAAGCCTTCCCTTAGTCACTGCTGCCTCCCCTCCATCCTTCCTCCACTAGAGAGAAGATTACTCCAAGTAGGCCTCTTTGCCTTCAAAATTTCTTTAACAAAGACAATAATACAACGTGGCTGCACCAACTCCCCCAAGCTCATACCTCATCTTATAATCTTCTCGATCTAAATTCATAAGAATCTATTGTCCGATATGAAAAATCTGGGCTATGTCACTATATTAAAATGCTTCCATAGTACTTTAGCAACCCTATAATCTCTTAAAATATGCAAGTTTGTTTCAACCTCCCTACATATACTATGCCTTTCACTAATTGCCCACCTCCTACTTCTGATGTCATTTGTATGTAGTCTTTCATGCATCATTTGCCATAAAAAAAGATGAATCCTTTCAGGTCCACCCCATTTCCACACCACCTCTCATTTCCTTTCCTTCATACCTAATCTTTCACCTCTAATCATTCAAAGCCCTTTCTTCACACTATATTGTGAGCAGCTCCCTTCTCCCTAAGCCCAACCATCTTCACCCCCATTAAGATCAAAAGGTATAGTCACTTTTAACACCCATTTTGCTTGTTCAGATAAGAGGCCTTCCACACGATCCCATCTCCATACTCCTTCATTTCCCACCATCTCAGCCACTTTTCAACTCTCTCTAACCTTAGAAAGTTGAGTAACTTTCTCATTTTGCAATAAAAAACCCTACTTTAACTAAGTATCTTTCCATAAAAGAATATTTCTTCCATTTTGAACTCTTCTCCAAATACCCTCATTCAATTTATCCTATAATTTCCCCAAGTCCTTCCATAATGTGGAAGCATTCTGATTCACTTTAACCACACCTCTAAAGTCTTCACTATTATTACTACTTAAACTTTAAAACATCAGCCCACAAACCACCATTCTCAATTCTAATTCTCTAAATCAATTTTAGCAAACAAGCTACATTCATGTCCTCAAGGTTTAAAATCTCCAATCCACCACACTCCTTTGGCTTCTACAAAGTCTCCCAATTAATTAAATGAAATTTACAATTTACACTATCATGTCCCTAAATAAAGGATCTTTGAGCCCTTTCAATCTCATCCATCACATGTTTAGGGATCTTGGTAACCATCATAGGATAAACAGGAATAAAACCCATCACAAACTTTACATGAGTAACTCAACCAGCCATGTTCAAACAATTGGCCTTACAACCTCTCAATCTACATTTAACCTTCTTAATCACCTCGCCTAAACGTCTACTCTTATGTCTCCCACAATTCAAAGGTATCCCCAAATATAAACCAAGATCATCCACTTCTTTAAACCTTGCCATACTTGCAATTTCTTCTCTCCTCTCCTTCCCAACATTATGAGAAAAGAAAATATTTGACTTACCATAGTTAAGTTTATGTCCAAATCCCTCACAAAAGGTCTTCAAACATTACAAAACCACTTCCATTTTCTCCTTAATCATTTCCCTAAATAAAATAAGGTCATCTACAAACATTAAATGGGAAACCACAGGCCCTTGTCTACCAATTATGATTGCTTTCTACTTGCCCTCCTATATTGCATCCTAAATTATATGAGTCAATTTTTCTATGGCCAAAATAAAAATATAAGGGGAAGGGGATCCCCTTGACAAATTCCTCTAAAGGGTTCAAAGACCTCTATTTTTTACCCATTCCAAAGCACTTAGGTCAAGACAATATTAATACACTTCCTAGTCAAATTCTTTATCTCCTCCTTCATTCCCATCTCCACCAAAATCCCCAAAAAAAAATCTCATCTGAGTCCATGATAGGCTTTCTCAAAATCTATTTTTAATTAAAAGAAACCCCTCTTAACTCTCATATTCTTCATACTATGAATCAACTCCTACCCTACCACAATGTTATGATGGATGTGTCTTCTAGGCATAAAACTCACTTGATTAGGGGCCACCAAACTACTAAGAAAATGTTTAATCCTATTCACCAAAATCTTAGGAATAACCTTATAAATAACATTACACAAAGCAATAGGCCTCATCTGCTTTATAGTTTTAGGCTCATCAACTTTAGGAACAAGTACAAGAAGAGTTCTATTAATATCTTTCATCTCCCTTTCCCCTTTCTAATAAGCCCTAACAGCGTCACAGACATCCTTCCCTACAATCTTCCATTCATTCTAAAAAAAAAATACAGCAAGAAAACTATCTACCCTCGAAGCCTTAAAAGCTCCAATAGAAAAAATGGCATTTACAATCTCCTTATCGGTCAAAGGCTTGCACATATTAACCCAAAGAGTATCATCAATGCAAGGATAACTATGATTCGAAATCATCCCTTCTATCACATCCCTTTTAGCAAACAAACCCTTATAAAATGAAAATGTTTCTAAGCTCATTTGGATCTTCCTCCCAAATTCCATCTTCCCTCTTCAACATGACCATCTTATTCCTCCTCCATCTCATGATAGTTTTAATATAGTAATACCTCGTATTCTTGTCCCCATCATTGATCTAATTCCCCCTTAATTTTTGAAAGAACAAAACCTCTTCCTGCTGCAACACAATGTCCAACTCCTTTTGTAACTTCTTCTCTAACCTAAATATATAGCAAAATGGCCTTTAAAAAAACTAATTGTTTAACTCCATCCAATCTAGCTAAAAGCATTTTTTTCCTCTTTTGTATATTCATAAAAACCTCCTTATTCCACTTATCTAGAGCCCTACTAAGCTCTTTAAGTTTCTCACCTACTTCTCCATACCTTCCCCAATTCTGCTTAACCACATTCTCAAAATCTTCATAAAGGAGCCAAGCAGCTTCAAAACGGAAAGATCTATTCCCAATAGAACTCACTTCCTCCAAACTAACTAAAAGATAATGATGGTCAAAGCACCCAATCTTGAAAAAACTTTAACAATACCCTTTGGAAAAGAAATCTTCCTAGCTTCATTACAAAGACCTCGGTCTAGTTTCTTAAAACTCACTGATAACCAGGAATTAAAGCCCCTTTTCAAGTAAAATTATTCCTACACGACTCCATCTTAATCAAGTTATAGGCATTTATTCTTTCATCAAAAAGTTCACATCTCCTCAAATTAACATTAGCCCCTCTTTCCTCTCTTTCACTCCTCTTATATCATTAAGATCCCCTATAAGTAACCATGGCCCATTAACATTAGGAGCCATTTCCAACATTTCATTCCTAAAAACTCTTTTATCATTTTCCCTCAAACTCACATAGGCAATAGTGAGGTTCCAAAAATTCTCGTATCCAAACCTGACTTGAAAATGCCCAAATTATTGTGTGTTCTCAAACTTTTGACCTCTACATCCCTTTTATCCCATGCCACCCAAATACCTCCGGAAAAACCCATGCCCTCAAAAGCCACACAATCTCTTAAGCCAAGTTTATGAAAGAAATACCTGGCTTTACATGTAGTTACTCTCATTTCCAGCAAAGCAACAATTGTTGGTTTCCTCATTCCCTATCACATCCCAAAAATAAGGTGTGACTGGCATAAGATATGCGTATAAAACCCATATCTTATAAGCCTTAATTCAAGAAACTTCTAATTTAATACTTTGAACCCATTAATAATAAGATTTAAAATTTTTACCATGCTTTTTGTTGCACAAAAGGAATCATATACTCTTTTAAAAATTCTAAAGAAACTCCTAAAAA